TAAGTGAAAAAAAAAAAAAAAAAAAAAAAAAAAAATATAAAAGGATATAAGAAAACTGGGAGAAATGGCAAATAGAATTGGTCCCTAGAGATGGGTAGACTGATGATCAGAATTCTGCTTTAAATGGGTAATATTAATGACCACAGTTTGTTCTGTAGCTACACATCTGATACTCCCAGCTTCATTTTTCGAGACATTAAAGTAGGGAGAAGTTCAGTGAACTATCAACTTCAGACTTTCATGCTGCAAAATTAATTGACCAGCTAATTGATAAGTGACTCACAAGTGATTGGTTCCCCTCTCTGTGACCAGAAATGAAGGGGTAGCCAGAGGTAAGACTAGAATTTCAATCAAAGGCTCTTAGGCATATACAGCAATACATTTTACCTTGTTCCAGCATAGACTGAACAGCAAAGTAATGAGCTGAGCTGTGGTCCTAGATGATCACAAGTGGCAGCTCTGGCATGGCTAGTAGAAATCAACAAGTAGGGGACCTTTTCCCCAGAAGATCCCTGCTTTCCTCCGAGAGAGCAACTAGCTTGCTTTGAATCTGGTAAACATGGGAGAGTTTCATTCTCTGCTAAGTTGGCCTGTGTTTAAGGGGGTTGTACTGGTTCAGCGTGAGAAGGCATAACAAAGATGCCTTGATAAAATTGGTTTCTTTTTTCATAGTCCATTTTTTTAAAGAAAGGTTCCCTCTGCTAAAATAGGGGCTTGATTATGCTTTCATAAGGTGCCATAGAGTGGGCCAATAGTTTTTCAACCAAACATTTTCCACTGGAAACACGCTGATTCACTGTTAAGGCAAACTGCCTTCAGTCATCTCATTGTAAACCTCAGGGCTAGGGAGAGAAGTTACACACAAACCAGGGATCACAAACCAGTTTAAACCTGCAACAGAACAGAAGTTTAGTGCACTTCAACCACGTACAAAATGGCTGAAACCAGTTTAAGATAAACCTGGTTGAATGCAGTATCAGACTTAACTGATTTAGGTCAAACTGGTTTATAGAACTTCTGTCCCAGACCCCTCCCTGGTTCAAGTTAACTCACAGTCCCCCAGCATCCCAGGGTGCTTTGCAGCCCTGGGCTGTGCTCTTTGCTCCAGCAGAGCAGGGTTGGCCCCACCCCTTTGCTTCCTTGCTGGAGCACGATCACTGGTTGAGAAGGAGGTGGGGGTAGGGCCAGGTCTGCCTGGTGGGGGTGGAGCAGCCCCTGGTCTTTTCCCCTAATCCCCACTGAAGTGGAGGGGTGGGGGGCATGGCCAGATGCCAGCCTGGCCAGCAGGCTGAAGCAGAGGGGAGGGAGAAGGTTTAAACCCCCTCCCCTGCTCTCAAGGGACCCCAGCCAGGGTCTGCCTGGCAGGGAGAAGCAGCCTCTGCCTGGCTTTTTCCCTTCTCCCCACTTGAGCAGAGGGAGGTTGGGGGTGGAGGGGGGCTTAAACCTCTCCACTCCAGCAGGGGAAAAGCCAGGCAGGGGCTGCTTCACCCCTGCTAGGCAGACCTAGCTGGGGTCCCTCGAGGGTGGGGGTGGGGGTTTAAACCCCTCTCCTGCTCCTCTGCCTCAGTGTGCCTTAGTCTGGCATCTGGTGAGGCCCCCCCACCCCTCCACTTGAGCAGGAAGCAGAGGAAAAGATTGAATTGATTCAGCCTCTGGCTTTTAGACTGTCTGTACTTAGCCCAGGGGATCAGGGGAGTAAACTGATTTTAAAAAAAGGACCAGGAGACCCCGGTCCAAGTGGCTGCTTTGCCTGAGTCAGAACAAGGGCTTGGATCTGGGTGTCCCGCATCCAAAGTGAGGGCCCTAAACACGTGGCTGTTGGCTAGTTCCTCCTGGCACAAGCTCTACCTCCTTTCTCTGTTTTGGGAAAGCATTTATGAAGGTCCAGTTTTCATTCTGATGCAGGTCCCAAACAAACTGAAACCTTGGAAGAAAAAAAAAAATGTTTTTCCTTTCAGGACATGCTCCTGGTGTTTTAAACTGGTTCATTTTGGCCTACTAGATCGGTTGTCTCTTTTTGTTCAGGCCCTTCCATCTTCCCTCATTCTCCCTTCTCCATTACTTTTACAGACCCTACTCCAATATGCCTTGTGTCTTTGGCTAGAGAGAAGAGAAGAGCTACCAACGCCATCCACCAGTGCAGAGGAGGCCGCAATGGCAAGTGGGTGAGAAACTCAGCTAGGAGGCTGGAGATTTTAGCTTCCCCATCCCAGTCCCTGTCTCTGACACTGACTTCCCCTATGACCTTGGGTCTCTGCTTTGTATTTTTTTCCTTGTGCTCACCTGGTCTTGCCTGTTTAGACTCCAAGCTGTTTGGGGCAGGTGCTTTCTTTTAAAATGCATGTGTAGAGTGCCTAGTGCTATGGAGCCTGAATCTCAGTCGGATGTTACCCTGTTACAAATAATAGTAAAAATAAGGAGTAGGAGAGAACAGTAAAGAAGCAGGACAAATACCAGCTGGTATTAGCTGCTTTTCTATGCCATGTGTAACTGAGGTCATGACGTCTTACCCCCAGGTGTTTGGAATAGCTAATCGGGTGCTGCTGCACAAGGCTACTCCTCTACTACAAAATGGTGCATCCTAGCAGAAGACTGGGCTTTGCTAGCTTCTCTTGGGTTTCGACATGCAGGGGGATGCTTGCTTTTTGTTTCCCTAGACTGCTGGGGCAGGAGCACAGAAGTAAGCCAGCACGCCAGTGTAGTCCTGCTGCCTGTAGCTCCCTTTTAGGTCTCATTGTAGATCTTGGGGAGACAGCCGGGTAAAATGGAAATTGCCCTGCAGAATTAACCAGTTGGCATGGGAGGGGCGTGTGTGTGCACTCATGTATTAGACATCAGGCTGCTTTATTGCAGGGAGGGTGCCTAATGCTAAGGCTGAGGGAGAAAACAAGCTCAATATGTGAAACCCTGTTGTGGACAAACTTTCATTTCAAAACCTTTCATTTCAGAGGAAGAGCTTCCCACAAGGCCTGTAACTCTGAAAATAAATGTCCTTACTGGAACTCCATGAAAATCAATGTCCTTACAGCACTTTTTAACATTTTCTTCCTTGCGTTCTTCTAAAAGAAAAAGTTAGCTCGCTCTCTAGCTGACTAACCAGACAGTTACTAATGGCAATCAAAATATGCATGGGCGTGATAATCTACAATTCTTTGTTGCTGCAGATGAAAAAAAAAATACAGAATGTGCTCACTGCCAAATTCAAACTTTGAGAGTTTGGAAATGTGTAGCTTTGCCAACCCTAAGTGCTGAAAAGCTGGGAGAGAATTAAAAAACCTGGAGTTTGAAAGTAAATTGGGGTTTTTTCTTCCTCTCTCCCCTGGAGGGATCATGTTTTCAAAGTTCTCTTTGCAATTGAAAGGCTGGAAACTTTTTACTATAATGATAGCTGAAATTCTCATGTCATCGCGTGTCCCCAAGAACTTGGGTTTTAAGAAGAAATCTTGATATAAAATCAGCCTCAGATTTTAGAAGAAGTGCAGGGAATTGAGTGAGAACAGGAGGAAATGCCTGGTAGTTTTATCAGCTGAGAGAGGTAGTTTAGTTAGTTGTGTTCGGCCAAAGTCAGGCAGGATTTAGGGTAGACCTGCACCTTATGAGCTAAGTAAGATAGAGGGAGCACAAACTTTCATGAACTCCAGTTCACGTCCTCAGATGCTGTGAAAGGACAATATAGATCCTGCTTAAAGTGCAGTGAGTGATTTGAATACAAAAGGTGGGAAAAGAGGAGGGTGTTTGTGGGGGGGGGGGACAGTGCTGGGAGAGGGATAGAAGCAAAGCACCCATAGGAACAAAGGGGTCACAAAAGCTAATCCAGGTAATGGGATAAGAATCTCTGGTCCCTGTGGGAATATAGTGGAAATGCTTTCACGAAAGAAAAGTCGTTGTTTAGATGAAACCTGCCTTTTTGCATTTGTGAACGGCTCCTACCTTTGAGGCCAGAGGGCATTCAAACAAAGTGGGGAGAGAGAGAGAGAGATCGTTTGGTCTTGCAGCTGTTTGGGAGAACATGAAATGGTGATAGGTTTTCTCTCTCTCTGTGCCCTGTGTTCAGTATGTGTGTGGGGTGGGGGGATCGCAGTCCCCATCTGAGCTGTAAAACAGGCACTAATGGGCCACATCCCCAGCTGGTATAAACATGCTTTTGGCTTCAATAGGACTGGTGAGGGTGATGGGCTGTGCCTGCTATGCCAGTCAGGTATTAGCTGGCTTTTAAAAGAAACTTCATAAGGAAGTGGTTCTAGCAAAGCAGACTGCTTCTCCTGGCATTCAAGGTCGCATCCATTTGTGTGATCTTAGTATTGACTTTTCTCTCAGATGAGAGCGCAGTTTCTTCTACCTTATGCTTTCCCTTCTCTCTGTTTTTTTGTGCTGGCATCAACAAGGAACTACAGTCATTCCACAAATGTTCCAGATGTTTTGCAAACCTTGATCTTGAGCTTATTTCCCAAGTTCAGCTTTACTAGTTACACAGTCGAATAGACAAATCTGCAGGTTGTCATCATTACGTCCTTCCTTGTAAAGTACTTTGCACTGTAGGAACCATTTGGCCGAGGCACTAGGGATACTTTTGTGAGAATATGCCATCAGATCAACCCTTTTAATACCCATAAAAAGACAGGATGTCAATTTAAAGCCTCATCTGTCTCATTCATCTTAAGTTTGGTGATTTATGAAGTACTGTAAATTGCAATCATATCAGTTTCTAACACTCTGGCAGCTATTTAAATAGCAAAACTTTCTTCCAAAAACATGATCTATGGAAGACATAAGTTTCAAAGAGGGAGTTTGCTTTAATAGGAAAAGACTATTAGCATTCATTTACTGACAAGAGCAAGCTTGCGTCCTTTACAAGAAATAACGCTTCCATTGCTATTTTGCATTCAGTGTTCATCAAAAGATAGCTTTTTCTTTTACTTGTGAAGTGGGGGGAATTTGGGGCAAGACTACATCTGGGGAGGCTGGGAAAGGTTAGATTTAAAGTGATACTATCTCCGTGGCTAAGGACAGAAGTTATACACAAACTGGTTTAAGTGATCAGAAACTGGTTTAAATCTGTAGCGGAACAGAAATTCAGTGCACATAAAGCAGTTTCAAAATGGCTCAAACTGTTCTAAGATAAATTGGGTTGAACGTAATAGCAGACTGAACAGATTTAGGTCAAACTGGTTTATGAATCTTCTGTCCCAGACAGAACCAGGAAGGGTCCTGGTTCAAGTTAAATCAGAGGGGGTCACAAGAAATAATGGCCATAAGCTAGCAGAGAGCAGATTTAGACTGGACATTAGGAGGAACTTCTTCACAGGTAGAGTGGCCAAGGTCTGGAATGGGCTCCCGAGGGAGGTGGTGCTCTCCCCTACCCTGGGGGTCTTCAAGAGGAGGTTGGATGGGCATCTGGCTGGGGTCATCTGAACCCAGCACTCTTTCCTGCCTATGCAGGGGGTCGGACTCAGTGATCTATTGAGGTCCCTTCCGACCCTAACATCTATGAATCTGTAAGAGTCCCCCAGCATCCCTTGATGCTTTGCAGCCCTGGGCTGGCCTGTGCTGTCTGCTCCAGAGAGCAGGGCTGGTTCTGCTCCATAGCTGGAGCAGTGAGAGCTGGCTCACTGGCCTCACTGGATGGCTCTTTGCTCCTCTCCCCTTCCCCCCCCCCCCCGGGCAAACCCCTGCTGTGGTCTGGGTCCAGGGAGGGGTGTTAAACTTCCCTTCCCCTGAGTGCAGAGTTGCCTGGCCCTGCTTACTTAGTGCTGGCTGTGACTGTGGACTACAAATCCCAGAGGCATCTGGAAGCAGGAAGAGAAAGTGATGGGCAACCCTGCAGATTCCTGCTGCTGTGAGTGTGGGCTGCAAATCCCAGAGACCTTGGGGGCAGCAGGAAGAGGAAGCGAATTCACAGCCCATGCTGGCTATGTGCCAGGGGTGTGCTAGAGCACCCCTGACTTCTGGATTGAACCATTGCAGGCATGTGGCTGCATTTCTCGAATTAAAAGTGAATGTCTGTTCATTTGCTTATTGGTTCAATCTTTTCAGCTTAGACTAACCTTTAAAGACAGAATCAATTTAACCTTGGGCTTTTTGACTTTCTGTCCTTAGCCCGTACATTGCTGGCACTGTAAATAAGGTGAGTGATCAAGACCAAGGGTGACATTTTGGCCCTAATGAAATCTGTGGCAAAACTTGCATTGATTTTGGTGAGCCCATGATTCCTCCCACCAAGTGCAGGAAGATAAGTGAGAAACAGGACAGTAGCAAAGCAAAGCAGAGCTGAATGCGTCAGCCTGCAACTACAAGGCAGGTAAAAAGAAACATTTAATTTTAATTACCCAGATGTTTACTTAGGAGATTGTATGGCATTTTGCCTACCAGATAGACATCACTTCAGCCAGTTCCCATGAGAGTGACATATGCCAGCATGCAGAAGTGCCAACATTTGCCAGTGTTAGGCATGCTAGACTGACAGCACTGGGATAAGGCATGCCTCCCATGAGAGGATTCAGGAATCCTGGCTAGCTTGTTAGTGTCAGCCCAGAAGCCTTTAGTGTAGTGAGGTGATATTTTCTTCTAAGTGGGAAAAAACAGACTTATTTTGCAGGGCAAAATTTGTGTTTAAAATAATTATCTCCAAATATACACCATGAAAATGTACAAATTAACAGCAGTTTGGCACAGGAGCATGAGCTGATAAGATTTTAGTATCAGTCAGTAATTACAACCGAGACCTTGAAGAAAATTGTCATGAGAAGGCCATATGTGAATTGCTTTTCCTCAAAAGAAACATCCCTGGAAGCTGCTGAGATAGTTACAGATAGAAAATCATAACCAAAAGGTAACTTTTCTTCATTGAGGTTTAACGGTAATTGGCACTGCTGAATAGCTACGGGAAATGAAAGAATTCTCTGTATCCAAGATATTTGCGTCGTCTCCATCATCTGTTTCTGAGCACCACAGTCTTTTCATGTGTTGTGAGGACAAATGCTACTGGAAGACTGTGAAACAAAATTATTTTCGTTTCACAGGTTGGGACCTGATGCGCATGGGAGGTGTCCACACCACTTTCCTGGCACTTCTTGAGGCGGGGGGGCAGCCATTTTGGCAGGTATGCCACAAATTAGCCCTGCACCCTCTCTGAGTGCCACTCCGATCCCCTTCCTCTGCTTGATAATCTCTTCTGTTTTCTGCGTCCTGCCCTGTATTCCCTGCCTGATCTCCTGCTCTGCCTTCTGCTTCATTCCCTCTCTGCTGCTGTGCTGCCTCTCTCCTTCCTGATCTGCTGGGTGTCACATGCAGAGGCTACCCATGCCACTTGTGGCACACTAGAGCAGTGTTTCTCAAACTTTTTTTGTACCAGGACCCATGTTTGTAAACATTGGCCAGTCCCGAGCCAGTGCCCCTCACTCCTAACACACTATCCCCCATCCCCTGGCCCCAACCCCCCAGTGTGTGGGATGGGGGCCCCCAAGCAGCCCTTGCAGGCTGAA